TTTCTCTGCTTTAAAAGGAGCTTGTTGCTGCACTCTCCATCTTTTGCTCCCACCAAGAGCACCTGAAGTAATGGCCAAAATCACTGGAGACTATTAGGGGAAGATTGTATGGGGGAATAAACTATAAAATTCTTTTATTTTGGATGTATTTTATATTCATTGAGCAATTTAAACATTAAACTTAAATTCAGATTATCTGTGAATTTGGTGTAACAATTTTTTCAGTTATTTAGCAGTTGCTAAAGGAAGCTTGGAATTTATTTTCTTTTCTTCTGTTAAATGACATTCTGTACCAATTTTATAAGTGCATCTTGTGTGAAACTCAATAAAATTCAATTTTGTAATCTTTGTTTAAAAAAGGAAAAGAATAGACTGGATTTCTTTGTTAATATTCCTGGCTTTGAGTAATGTGACATCTACCTGTTAATTTTGGTTTATTCTGAAGGACTAACATTTTCAAGCAAAGGACAAGCAACCCATAGTACAACTGATATCTTGTGTTCATGACATTGCTTTTAATGGCAACTAGCTTTCACCTATGGAAGAAAAGCTAGAGGAAATGCTGAAGCCTGATTCCTGTAGTTGTTTAGAGACAATCACTTGACATTTGCTCGGTTTAGAAAAAATAGGTTTTTGCTTCGTGTGTCCTGAAATCGTATTAATTTTTGTGGTTTTATTCTTGTGTTTTGCCATACGCAGTGTTTCTTCTCCCCTAATATGTGACAGACCCAAACAAACAAATGGATCTAATCACATATACAAAGTGTCAAGTGTAAAAAGTAAACACAAATACCATTTTTCCCAACTCTTAATGGAAAAAAATCTTTTATGCAATAATAGAATTTTTAAAAATTCACATAGAATGACAGATTGCAGATATATGCCGGTTCAATAAACCTACCAACCTGTGATGATGTCAAACTGTTTAACTTACTGTAGCTCCTTTATTCTCTCTCTCTCTCTCTCTCTCGATAGGTATGCCTGAAGTCAAGTACAGGTTTTCCTTGCTTTATGCTATACATGTGTTCCTGGAAAACTGCATAACTCAAATTCGCATAAAGGGAACCCACTTTACAATGTAACAAATAGGGATACGTTCCAAGACCTTGACCAACAGCAGACAGTACACGCAAGCACAGGGTGATGGTGAATGGTACCATAAATGGGGATGGCAGTTATAGAAACGTGTCGCAGACAACGAGTGAGGAGCATAGATTTATACAGGAGACAATATTTTGGTGCGTGTGACTCCCACAATGCACCGCACAAAGCAGCTGACTGCGGACTTCCAGCGCACAGATGGCATAAGAGTGAATTTACCTTGCATACAATGAATTTTGGGTATAAAAAGGGTCATCGCATAAGAGTGAATTTGCACATACAGAACCCGCATGAAGTGAGGGAAACCTGTGTACCAATGGTTACCAAACCTCTTGGACTTGCAGACAATGGGCAGATCTAAACAATTCTCACAGTCAACCATCCACATCCACCCATATCATCATACTTCTAATTGAAAAGATGGTGAGGGATGTGGTACAATTCACAGCTGGCTGTGAAGCACTTTTAAGTGACTTTGCAGCCCACAACATGGGCGCCACTAAGGTATATATATAGTCCTCTGTTCTGCGCAAGTGGCTGGATGATTGCTGGTGACTTTTCATGTAGTTGTTCTGATGTCTGAATTATCTGTCTGAATTCTCAAATTTACTAGAAAACCTTTGAAAGAGGGCTGGTTGATACTGCAGACTGATTCTATCAGATATTCTCTATCCATGCAAACCTTTGAAGAGGGGTATGCTGAGTAACTGTGGTACACATGCAAATCATATAGGAGCCATGTGTCAAATCCCTGTCAGAAGATACCTTTGTATGTTAGATTTTATCCTACAACAGAATACTGGCTGAAAGATCTGCTCCCCCATTGGTATATCCCCACTCTCAAGTATTCCCTAGAAACCTAGGAAATTAATGCATTAAAGCTTCATTGCAAAGCAGTTACGGTTGCTATAGATACAGTATGTTTTTCAACCTCCCCCACCAGAATAAGCTAACAGGAAGTAGGAATTAGACATAACTCTTCTCCATCCACAAGTACACCTCACTCTACTGTGTACTACAGGCAGTGCTCTGCAACTTGAACATCCCTCTGTGATCCGTCAACCCCTTTTAACTGCCCTGCTGCAGTTGACCTTAGCTACCCTTCTACACAACCCTTTATCAAGCTGTCCTTTCCAAACATACCAGATCTATCAATATTACTAGACTTGGGGACTGTATAGCCTGAGCGCCATGGTGTAGACAGGCAAAAATGAGACCAAGTGAAAGTTTCAGTGCATGATCCCTGGTATTGAGGCTTGAGTTAACCATCTGTGCTTAGGTGAATTGGCCTGTATTGAATAGGGTGGATTTATACCCTACATGATGAAGAGAAAAGGAGATGGTTCTGGAGGCAGGTGTAGATTGTTCCTGACATCCCTCCCATCACATTCCTTCATGTTTTTTTAAAAACAAGTAAAAAAGGTCAGCTATTGTTA